ATACATGTCTAAAAATCAAACTGATGGAATCTAATACTGATCTCTGACAATGATTTGAAATATTCCCCTAATACCACTTTTCATTTTAGATTTTAAATGACTAGAGGACACTAGCATAAATCACCCTTTTACAATAAAAGCTGGTGATTTCCTCTCAATTCAGGCAGTAAGGCAGTGTCACTTCACTTCAATGTGGCCATCACAGGCACAACCAAGATAGCCATCTCTCAAGTCATATTGTAAAACTAAATTAAAAACAAATGAACAATGCTCTCTAGCATTTACTAGCATGGGAAGGTGTTCCTAGCGTTCTTAAAGCTTATAGCATACTGTTAGTCATCATGCTTCAAATGAAGACATTCTGGAACAATCTTGAGCTTTCTGGTTCCTAAGCCAGCCAGCCTGTCAACATGTGAAAATCAATGTTATCAGTATCTCTTCCACTGTAAGGATTACTAAATAGGGGTATATCCACAGTCATCATTGGCACACCTGGTCACAGGAACACATGATTTACACAGCTAGGTTTTATGATAAGAGAGATTTTAGCAGATGAGGTATAAAATTTGAAAATATGCAGCCAGAGAGATGGGTAGTATGAAAAACCCTTTGTTCTGTAAGCATCAGTCTCCTTCAGATTTTGTTCATAAGTCTTTCCAGCTAAATAGAAAAATGACAAAATTTTGAAAGAGTAAATGAGTATGTGGGAAAATAAATTAGCTATCATGAACTGGCATAGATAAATGCTCCACATTTAGATGTTTTACCATACATTACAATTGAATAAATACGTTGGCCAGGATAACACCAGAAAACAAAAGACATAAATATGGAATTGGCACATGAAAATGTAAGGAACAAATTCAGAAAAAAATTTCTGAAAAGGTATTTATAATTACCTTACTCAGAAGGTAAAGTAGGAAAATGTAGAAGGGACCATCCAGGGGATTTACCTGGCTGTGTTTGTCTTTGGACCTGCAATGTTATGCAAATTTGCTACTTAAAAAAAAAACAAAAACAGGATGGAAGTAATGCATTTGTTAAGGTGTCTTCTGTGCACAATTTTAATCCAGCACTATTGTACCCAGTTAAGTCCCAGTTACTAAATAATAACTTGTATTGCATTATCTCCCTTGAGAGAGAGAAGATTCATCCATAAAAATATCCTAGGGATATACCATGAACCAGTTTTCTTTTTCAGTTCATATACCATGAGCCAGCTTTCTGCTGTAATAATATTTAGTTAATGATGTCAATTTCTTATCTTTAACTTTTTTTAGTGCAAAATATCATGGAATGCTAATATACTGAAGAGTCTTGTTTTGCTAACTCAATGCTAACAATATTAGATAGCCATATGTATCTCAGAACTTTTCCCAGTACTTTATTACTCTGTATATTATTTCACATACATGTACACATTAATAAGTACAATAACTTTATAATCTTATTTTAGGACAAAAATAGCCTAATGCATATAAAAAAATAAAAGTATTAAAACATAAATACTAAACAGTTGTCAAATATAAAGCCGATCTTGGATGAGCAAAAATATGTAGAAATTAACACTTTCAATTGCTTTTCAAAATAAAATGTTGAAATTTGATTCAACTCAGCCCAGATGCTAATTACTCCAAGAGGCCTTCAAACATATACCAACTTTAAGTAACAAATCACTTTTCTAAAGTCTCACAGCAATTTATTCATGTTTTATGAAAAAAAAATCTTTCAACCATTCCATGTAATTCAACATGTATTTTACATCCTCTACTCCTCTAGAAAGTTTTAAGAGCAGGAGCTTTACCTGATTAATTTTTTTAAATGGTTAATATTTTAATCAGCAATATTTTTAAATGGATGAATGATGCAGTAGTATATGACAAGGCTACAGTTCTTATCTGGGGTTCTGTGGCTGTTGAGAATGACCAGTCTCAATTTCTTGTGGTTGTAGAACTAAGGCCCCTGTTTTCTTGACACATTATTCCAATCAAATTCAAGCATACAAAGGTGCACTGAATCCTTCTTGTGCTTTAAATCTTTCTGAATTCCTTTCTGTCTTGCCTCCTGCTTTTAAAGGGATCATGTGATTATACTGGACCCCTGCTGTTGGATAATCCAGGGTAATTTTCCTGTTTTAAGTTCAACTGATTAATAAATCTAATTGCATCTACAAATTCCTTTCAATATGTTAAATAATATATTCAAAGTTTAGGGATCAGGGTGTGCAATCTTCTTGGGAGCCATAATTCATCTACTACCTCCATCTTGTCTAAAATTTCATCATCTAATAAATATTTATTGGAATATATAAGTAGACTTGTATTAGATTACTATTCTTAAAGATGACACTAGAGTCATTTTTCACATTCATATTTCAGTGTGAGAATTGGTTTAGTCAGAATTTTAGCTTTTAAAAAGTAACTTAAGGAATAAGACTTGTATAAATGAAAGGAAAATGTAGGATGATGGTGCAGTATTATAGCATGGACAGATATTTCCCAGGGAAAAAGTAAAGAGTGACCTGAGAGGAATACTAAAGTGTGGCATTCTGGAAAGGGATACTAGAAGGTAGAAGAATGAATGGGACAGAGACAATAAAGCAACTTTCCATGGACTATGAATTATAATAATCAGCTTGATAAGTTAACCAGATCTTCAATGTCCTTTCTTCTTTATCAATTACCCAAGCATCACACAGATATACACACATGCACATATACATACATGAAAGTGTCTAAATAGGTTTGAAACAGAGGTACAAGAAAATATTCTAATAAATTCCTTGAGTTGAGAAACCTGACTTTCCCCTGAGCATTGTAAAGTGTTTTCATAAAATAACAACAGAGTTGGGGTTGAGGGAAAGGGACAATAAAAGTAGAAGGAAAGATATAACATACAACTATTTCAATGGTTTCAAAATACCCCTTAACTTCCAGGGATAACCTTGTCTATTTAATTATTGTAATGTATATTTAAAGAAAGAAATCATTTTCTTTTGGAACAAATATTGAGTTCACAATAATCCAATCATAACCTTAACAGGGAGAGAAACCAATCTCTGTTTCACTTCACTGCACCATAGCATTTAATCTCTCTCTATTGATAGTGCATGCAATTTTCATTAGAAGAGCTTTAAACATCAGAGGTAACATTTGGAGGCAGCAGCAGATTCACGGAAGCTCTTTAATATTTGGTCACTTCATAATTAGATTATAACTTTACAAGAAAGCACATGCAAGGTACTGGGTCACAGCTTTAAAGTTAGAAAACCATTAAAATCACCCAGGGTGTATCATTACTTTGAAATGACTTATAAGCAGTTTCATTTGACTGCCAAACATTTTTATAATACCTTTCCCAAAGACAAATGTGTTCAGCTTGATTTGTGTTTGTCTTTGCATTTAATCATGTTTGTAGTCTCTTTATTTTGAATTTACAATTAATCCTCTTTATATTTATATAACACTATTTTAAACTTTTTCTCCCTAAATTTATCTTAGTGGGTGGTTGCTTATTACAGTTTTATACTGTTATAACTGTTATATGTGCATAGTGCTTTGAGCATCCTGACAGAAGGTATTTTATAATTTTATTATTTTTTGTTCAAACTTTTGCAAATAACATATTCATAAAGTCTAAACCATGTAAACATGACACAGATTCTAATGTTGTTCAGAAAACCATTATCAAGAATATTTTCTGTAAATGTAAATTAACATTTTATATATTACTGGGCAAACTGCATGTGAGATGGGCCTGAAGTTAGTCACCTTTCCTCTGATGGTTGGTAGGTCAGACATCTGCACATCAACAAAGAATACAGCAGTGAACAGGTAGGCTAAAAGTGAATGGATTTTTTAGTTGTTTTGGTGGTGATGGTACTCTAAAGGAACATTAAGGAAAATAGAAATTATAGAACAACAATGGGTATGAGAGTGAGGAAACTGGGATGTAGTTATAATTCTTCTTCTTACTAAGCTTACCAGTATATCATCTAATATCTAGAATTTTGTTCAGCATGAGCATGTGTGAAAAGGTGAAGCTGAGCTAAAGCTGTACCATTGTACTTTCTAGTTCTAAAAGTACAATAGTCTGTGGATTGAAGTATGTTCTCCCTGTCCTTAAACTATTATGTGATTGTAAGATAGGCAACGTGGCAGGAAAATGAACTCTTTTAAGACATTAAAATGATTTAAAGAAAAATCATATATGATAATAGTTAATAATACAAGCTCCAAATTAACTGTCTGCCCTCAGTAGTTTGACTAATGTCACTGCTCCATTCCATAGAAGTGGGAGTATTTTGAGATAATTAACAAACAAATGTTATTTGAAAAGAGAATATTAAGGTATGATAACTAAAAAGAACAAAAATTAAATTAAATGTTTATGCAATTAGTAATAGGAATCCTGATAGGAGGAATGAACATAATCAACAGGCTAGTTCTCACATGTGGGAAACTTAAAAACTGAGACAGAAAAAAAAAATTAGGAAAATTCACCCAGCAGAGATGATTTATTTGCCAAATGTGACCAAGGATTTTCACTAATTCCTTATTAAAGAGTGGATATAAGTCCATATCAGAACTCCTCTATATTTCTGGTTCAGGATGGTTAACACAGTACACAAGTTTTTTCTTCTTCACCTAAATCCATTGAAATGACAGATACATATTTAAAAAATAAACACATAAAAGTGCTGTGAATAGGAAGACCAGCAGACAGAATCTTTATAACAGATGAAACAGAGTGAAGAAAGCCACAGTCCACAACAAGGAGCACGTGAAGCAACAATAGTCATGGGAGCAACGCTGTCCAGAGGAAACCAAGAGATTCAAAGGAAACAAGTTTAGTGACAATGGTTACTAAGGAGTTTGAATGGGACAGTGTAGCTCATGAAGAAGGTGGTTTCCTGCCTGGGGCAAGTTCCTTAGGAATCTGATGAGACTGAAGGAAAACAAGGAAAAGGGTAGGTTGGGGATTAAAGGTGTGTTTCTCACAGGCTCAGTCTCTCCCCCGACGGTGCTCCAGTTGGAACCCCAGCTGCTCCATTCTCTCTCTCTCGGTGTACACTCCACCTCCTCTTCCTTAGCTCAGCTCCCCAGGTCTCCATCTCTGAGGCACACTCCACCTTCCCTCACCCCTTCCAGGAGGAACTCTGTGGGGGAGGTCCCTGGTGACTGGCTGGTGCCTGACCAGTTACATACCAGGAAGGAAGGAAGGAAAGAATGGCTGCTACTCTCCACCCTCTATCCCTGACCTGCAATTCCATAATAGACCCATGGCTCTGCCACAGTAAACATCACATTGATGTGCAAGCAGGCCCTTATATACATATCACTATCAAGGCCAGGTGGCAATTATAGTTGAAAACTTCCATTTGCCAAACAGACAGAAATAATTTTAATGGTTTAAACCCTTTATATGCAATTGTAGAACTAGGATGCCCTTACAGTCCATATGCAAGCCCTGTACTGACAGGAATACTGATTACTCCCAGACCAAGACTAAAGAACTTCTCTCTGCAGAAACTGAACAAACTATCTGGGATGACTAGTGATTCTAGTCTAGGTATTAGCATGACAGAACTTTTCCACCTTTTATTTAATTTAACTAATATTTTATTTTATTTTTGTAAACTAGAGAGAAAGCTAGTTTTTTATCTGCTCACTACCCTCATGTCATTAAAGGGAATGCTGGGTCAGCCCTCTCATCCAAAGGAGAAACATTAGGGAAAGTGACCTACAGAAAAGCAGAAGAAACTGGTATCAACTAATACAATATGAGAAATATTTGAAGATATGCCTCAGCCAAACATTAAATGTAATAAAAGAATGTGTATGATATATCAATGAAAGAGCAGGCATAATCTATATAAATACAAAGAATTTTAAGATGGAAATACTATAGCTTGCAAAGAAATCAGCTTAAATCAGAAATATAACAGAGGGTACATAGAAAAAAATGTGTGTATACTTGTCTTTTTTTTTTTTTTTTTACATTTTTTAAGCATCTGAACCTCCTATTTCATTTGAGAAATCTGTTAAGATGTTGCTCTTGGGGGAATGTAGCTGCAAATAAACAACTCCACAGGTCGTTCCACTGGTGGTGATATGGTATCCATTATCCAGTGGCAGCAATGTCATCAGTGATGTATGTTGTCCAATGGAGGTTGGGCCAATACTAATGTCCAATTAAGGCTATAGTAGCTCTCCAACCAGTGCATTCTACTGACACTCACTGTCTTTCTAGCTGTCTGGATCCCTTTTATTCCTGCATAGTTTCAGAGTATGAGTTACTAGCTATTCAATTAATTCTGTGAGCTCTATTTGCCCAATATTTCTATTCAAGCTTAAGACAACTGGAGGCAATGGCAGTGTCTTTGGTTTTCAACCAAAAACTCTGCTTAGTATAATTAACATCTTAAGGATGAAAGAGAAGATAAATTAGCAAATGTGATGATTAAAAAACTTCTCCCCTCTAGATTATCATTCACAAAAGAAAACATAAATGGCAAAAACAGCAAGCCTAGACTAGTACACAATAAAATCCTGTAGGGCAGACATTGTGCTTTCCTGTTACTCTGATTATGGGGAATATTTAGTTCAGATTCTCATTTTGCTTCCTGAGAACACCCCTACAATACTAAGCAACTCATTCTATATGATTGTTGCTTTTCCCTTATCCTACATTGCCATATTGGAAGCAAATATAGATTAATATGCTGCCTTTGTTCACCTGTTCTCACCTACTCTCTTCCTATGTAATTTTACAGTCTTGAGATTATTTTACAAATGTAGTCTTGGTTTTTAGTGTGGGCTTGTAGTTTCTTTTTCAATACACCTTTCTCATGAATTTTTTAAAATGTCTCTATTCTCAGAAAACATGATTGCCTATGCTATAATCCTTTAGACTTTATAATCTTTCAGATTATACAGTAAATAAAATTGTATAAACTATACAATTAGTTCTAAGAATTAATAAGTGAGTATAGCAATGTCACCAAATACAAAGTCAAAAATCAATTGTATTTCTACATCCTAATAATAGACATGTAGTAGCCAAATTTTTAAAGTGCCATTTAGAATAGCATCAAAAGCAATAAAATAGGTATAAGTTGAAAAAAACATGTACAAGTTCTTTATGCTGAAAACAAGAAAAATATCAATCAAGCATAGAAGATCTAAATAAAAAGAGAGATACCATTTTCATGGATCAGAAGACTCAATATTCTTAAGACATGTACTTTTTTCCAAATTTATCTATAGACTTAATATAATCCAAACCAAAACTATAAGTGGATTACTATAAATACTGCCAAGATGATTCTAAACTTTATATGGAAAGGACAAAGAATTAGAATAACAAAAATCGCTTTGAAAAGGAAAGCAAAGTTAACTTATATTATCTGATATACAGCTGCAGTAATTAAAACAAGGTGGTATGAGTGAAACAACAGATATAGACAGCAATAGGACAGAATAGAAATAGAGAAATGCAACTATAGTCAACTGATTTTTGTTAAATATTTAAAAGGTAAAATGGAGAAAAGAAGCCTTTTAACAAAAGCTGCTGGAACACTGACATATCCACATGCAAAAAAAGTGAGTAAATAAAAGACGCTTTGAGAATTGAGTAATATTGGATTGTATGAATTTACCACAGTCTGTTTATCCTTTCACTTGCTGAAGGGCATTTGTGTTGTTTCCAGGATTTTGGAGGATATTTGGAGCATCTTATATAATTAACTCAAAACAAATTGTAAACCTAAATGTGAAGTGTATAACTCTATAAATTTCTAAAGGAAAGTATAGAAAATCATTTTGGTGGCCCTTATTATAGGCAAAGGGTTCTTAGATATGATATCAAAAGCATGATCCCCAAAGAAACTATTGATAGTTAGACTTCATCAAAATTAAAAACATTTTTTCTGTAAATGACACTCTTAAAATAATTTGAAGACAAAGTACAGCCAGTGAAAATATATTTGCAAAGGTGATGTCTCACAAGGCACTTTGATCCAAATTATAAACAGGACTCTCAAAACTCAAAAGTAAGAAAATAACCCTATGAAAAAATGAGGAAAATATTTGAAAAGCTACTTCACAAAAGAAGATCTATCAATGGCAAATAAGTATATGAACAGATATTCAATATCATTAGTCTTTAGGAGAATGTGAATTAAAACCATTAAGAGGTACCACTACACATCTGTTAGACTGGCAATCAACTACAGCAACCTGATAAAGCCACATGTGCCAGCAAGTTTGCAGAACAACCATAAATTTCATACATTGCTGGTGGCAATGCAAAAATGGTGCAGCTAAGAGTTTGCATTTTCTTATAAAATTAAACATATACATACCATATGACCCAATAATCTCCCTTCTAGGTATTTATCCAAGAGAAGTAAAACTTATATTCATAAAAGTCCTATACATGGATATTTATAGTAGTTTTATTTATATGCTCCAAAAACCTGGAAACAACCTAAATGCCCTTCAGCAAGTGAAAGGATAAACAGACTGTGGTAAATTCACAAATGCAGTATTACTCAATACTAAGAAAGAACGAATTACTGATACAAGCAACAATATGTACATACTTCAAATGCATTACAAAAAAGGAAAGAAGCCAAAAGGCCATGCGTGTTTCATGATTCCATTTGTACGACATACTGGAGATGGCAAATCTACAGAGAATGAGAACAGGTGGTGGATGCCAGGTTTAAGGGATTGATTACAAAGGAGCAGCAGTGGGGAATACTCTGGGTCATGGAATTGCCCCACACCTTGTTCAACATGGTAGCAACTTCATGCATTTGTCAAGACTTACAGAACAACTGTATGCCAAAAAGCATAAACAAGCTATATTATTTAAAGATATTGACATAATCAAGAGAATAAAAAGGGACAATTGTTATCCCTGAGAAGGTGTTATGGGAAGTTTTATACTTACCCCATCAGTCATGACTGAAATTTTAGAGTTTGTGGTGTGTTTATGTATATATGTATATATACATATATGAACCATGTAGTGTTTACATGTTATAAATATTTATAAGAATATAATATTATATTGAGTTAAGGTGATAAGGTGATATATAGCAAATTGATCTTATCTACTGATGTGTTTAGTAATATTTACATAATCATTTTGTGTCTGCATAATATGAGAAGATGAAGACTTCTTTTGTTTAAAGTTAATTTCCAGATCTGTTAGACCCCAAATCACAATTACTTATGAATCTTATAAATAAAGCAAACAGATAATTTAAGCGACATTCCTTGTAAGTCCATATCTTAGTCTTCTTTTTGTTAGTTTGCCGCATACTGCTTTACAGTCTGTAAAGTAGTCCATGTAGATACTTGGGGAATTCTAAAAGTTCTATCAAATAGTAATTAATCCACTAAAAGCTGTGTGTCTCATGGACTTTGTACATAAAATTCTTAATACAGAAAGAACATTATGAATCCTATTACATAGGACACAGATCTCAGAGCAGGCTGGTAAGACAAGCTGCTGATTGAAAGCATAGCATACATCTTTGTCTAACCTTTTTAGTATAAATTTTTTGCTTTAAACTCTCAGAAAACCCTACCAAATACTATTCTTGCTCTGATAAATATGTCCTTGTCCTTACTAAATATTACACCACTTTTCTCAAAGCAAATATGGTTTCCATTATAAGGTATTGTTAAATAATATACCATTGTCTTCACAAGTGCTTACAAATCTGCCTATATTTCCCTGGTATTTATTTTGCCTATCTCAACCCTATCAAAACCAACTTTCTGTCATCATTTATGTTTGGAAACCAGGGATTACCTGTTGATTCTGAAAAAGGTATCTCTAATAACACAGGCAAAAGTGACCTGCTAACCTAAAATCATTGACTTCTTTATAAAAGCTCCAATTCTATTTTGGGGAAGGTCTTTTTTGTTTTTTTTTCCATATTATTTAACATTTATTTTCTACATTTAATACAGTTTCTGCATATATTTTCTGAGTTCAATTAATTTCATGTTAAAACCAGAAGGAAGATCCCAAGTACATCATTATATAAACAAAACAAACCTGCCTATATTTCCCTATTTGTTCAGAAATAATACACAGCCCCCTTTACCCTATTTTTTATAGTTCAAGGCATGCTGATTAA